TTTGGATTTTTTTTTTTTTTTTTTTTTTTTTTTTTTTTTTTTTTTTTTTTTTTTTTTGGAGGGAACATGCATGCAATTGGTGTGGTTTTGTGGAAATAAGAGAGACAATAATTTTATATATAAAGAAAATTTTAACATCACACTTTTCTTAGGATATATTATATAATTAATTATTCCTTTTCCCAATCATAGATTTATATTTTCTATTAATTACTTGGGGAAAAAAGGATGAATGATTATATGTATATGCCCTTTTTATAATAATAATACTAAATATAAATATATAAGGTAATGGTGAGGTCTTTCTCAAGGTGCATATCCACCGTGGCCACCGCCTTGGCTGCTACCACCTCCTCCTCCATATCCTCCTTCATGACCACCAGATGCACCTCCATGTGCGCTTCCTCCACCATATCCTCCCTCATGACCACCACCTCCACCACTACTTCCTCCATATCCTCCTTCATGACCACCAGATGCACCTCCATGTGCACTTCCTCCACCGTATCCCGACCCTCCTCCACCACCTCCACCGCTTCCTCCACCACTACTTCCTCCTCCTCCTCCACCATGACCCCCACCTGCTCCGCTTCCATAACCTGACCCATATTCTCCTCCTGGCCCATATCCTACACCTCCACCGCCGCCATTTCCACCTCCACCACCACTACCGTAGCCTGCTCCATGTTCTCCACCATACCCTGAACCTCCCCCTTCTCCTCCTCCAGCGCCAGACCCAGCACCGCCAGAACCATACCCTGCCCCACCGCCATTTCCGCCACCCCCGCCGTATCCACCACCTTCATGACCATACCCTGCCCCACCACCATTTCCACCACCCCCACCGTATCCACCACCTTCATGACCGTACCCTGCGCCACCACCATTCCCACCACCCCCTCCGTATCCACCACCCTCATGACCATACCCTGCCCCACCGCCATTTCCACCTCCACCTCCATATCCACCACCACCTTCATGACCATACCCTGCCCCACCGCCATTTCCGCCACCCCCACCATATCCACCACCACCTTCATGACCATACCCTGCCCCACCGCCATTTCCACCGCCCCCTCCATATCCACCACCCTCATGACCATACCCTGCCCCTCCGCCATTTCCGCCACCCCCACCATAACCACCACCCTCATGACCATACCCTGCACCACCGCCATTTCCACCACCTCCTCCATATCCAGAACCTCCAGGACCATACCCAGCCCCACCTCCATTTCCACCGCCACCTCCATACCCTCCACCTCCAGGACCATACCCAGCACCGCCTCCGCTACCTCCACCATACCCTGAACCTCCAGAGCCATATCCAACTTCACCATATCTAACCCCAGAACCATAACCACCTCCACCGCCACTTCCTCCACCTCCACCATATCCATTTCCACCTCCCGGGCCATACCCACCTCCCTCACCACTTCCTCCACCGCCACCACTTCCATAGCCACCAACACCATATTCACCTACAGAACCATAGCCACTACCGCCTCCATTTCCTCCACCACCGCCATAACCACCAAGAGAGCCATACCCACCACCACTACCAGCGCCTGCACCACCGCCTGCACCATAAGCAAATGCCGGAATGTTAACCGGCTTTCCTTCACCATAAGTTAAGAGATTTCTGGCTGCAGAAGAAACCCCAATTCCTAATAAAAGAAAAAAGATAAAAGAAGAAAGGCGTTTATGAGAAGCCATTTGGGAATGGTTGAAGTGAAAAGGGAGTGAGTGAAGGGTTTATATAAGGGAAGCTGTGTGGAGAGAGTGGTTGAGGCACATGCAAAAGGGAGAAAGTGGGTGGCCCTAAATCTACACCTACCCACTCCCCCTTTCACTCCATTTTACAAAATCAGTGTCATTAAGCTGTCCTCCACTCCCTCCATTTCAACTCCTATAGTAAATCAAACCAATAGCTAAGAAAAATTTAAAAGAATTAAAAGTTATTACATATATCAAGAATGTATTGAAATAAAATTCGTTCGGATACCAATTTGTTGAAAATAGCAATCCGCTCTAATACCAATTTGTAGAAATAAACGTTCAATCTAAAACTAACTTAAAATAACACTCACGAAGAAGAGATGTCGAGAGAGACAAGGAGTGAAAAACCCTTTTCTATTGCAGTGTACTTAACTAATGATTTGCCCTTCCTTCTCCAACTAATTAATTTATAGGTTTTCTAAAATCTAAAATTGACTATCCCATAACCTACTCTCTCCTAAAATTATTATTGACTACTTTTTTTCATTTAAGTTTATTCCTCTAATATGCACACATTCTCATTCATAGAATCTCAAAAATTAAGTGTACTTTGCTTGGAATCAAGATAACTCCAACATTCCCTTATGACATAGTCACATTACTTACATACCTAACGGACTAGAATCAAAACCAGAACCAAAGTTGTCCTCATTCCCACAAGCTAACACGAGTCATTTCCGCATGTTTTATCCTCATTCACATAAATACTCTTGAAATTCCTAAGAGATCACCCAAAATAGAATTTCTCCAAACAAAACATGTTTAACATTAAAGCTCCTATGATTCAGCTATGGATAAGAAACGTGCACCTTGTTGGTATAGATAGTAACTCTCGATTCTTTTAAGTTTTTCTTGACTGTCTAATTCTTAATATCGCTCTCATTCAAATGTAATCTGAGTTCATTCATGCACCTCTCCTATACTCAGGTGTCACCCCAATTTTCATAAACCCGTCAATTATATCAATTGAATGGTAGTAGTTAAAGTGACATCAAAACTTTTGAGAAGAATGGTTAATATGAAATATGAATTATAAAGCATAACCCACCATTGGGATTATGAAAATCTTGGCTGTTTAAATTAATGATTTGAAGTTTGATTGGCCAAAAGTCTTGATGTTTAAAATAAACCTCTATCCATTACCTTGATTTGAGAATATATTATTTGAATAAAATGTATTTATTTTAATGCCATGAATTGAAGGTTTGAGAACATTAGTTGATTTGGTGTCCACTCAGCCAAATCTTATCTCTCCCAAAGTGAAAGCCAGCAATCTCCACATTTGAACACAGACATTGGTGGAAACAAGTATTATATATGTTTATATTAGTAGATACTCACATGCCTACAATACAACACTCAAAATATATATATATATATATATTTGAATATACGACAAGGAAGTATATTAATGGATTGAGACTGAATCTGAACGATAATAATTTTGAGAATAGAACTTGTGTTTTTCTATGAAGATAATCTTCCACTTAAAAGTGAAGAGTAAGTAATATTTTTAAGATAACACTTTTTGTTTTTAGGAATAACGACTCTCCACAGTGATATGTATATTTATATTGTCTACTTTCTCATGGCTTTGTTTTGGGTTTTTCCACTTAATCGAGTCTCGACTCCTTCTCTAGAATCTTCGAACAAAGTACACCCTTTGTTCGACACTTGCTTCGAGGCTCAAAACTTCTTTGTTCGACATGGCTAAGTTCAACGATCCTTCCCTCGAACAAAGTACACTACAGAGCCTTCTCTGAGGCCTATGGAACCCTCAAACAGCATCTCCCTTGATCAAGGCTCGACTTCTTTTCTGGAGTTTTCGAACAAAGTACACCTTTTGTTATACACTTGCTTTGAGGCTCAAAACTTCTTTGTTCGACATGGCTAAGTTCAACGATCCTCCCCTCGAACAAAGTACACACTACAGGGGCTTCTCTGAGGCCTATGGAGCCCTCGAACAGCATCTCCCTTGATCAAGGCTCGACTCCTTTTCTGGAGTTCTCGAACAACGTACACTGTTTGTTCGACACTTGAGTCACTTTTGACTACACCTTCGAGACTCACAACTTCTTTATTCTACAATTGAGTATTCTATTAACATGGCTAAGTTAAGGGCATGACTTTAATACCATGTTAGGAATAACGACTCTCTACAATGGTATGATATTGTTCACTTTGAGCATAAACTCTCATGGATTTGCTTTTGGCTTACCCAAAAAACTTCATACCAGTAGAGATGTAATCCTTACTTATAAATACATGATCACGGTTTTAAAAACTTTTCAAATATGTTGAGCTATTTGATAAAGTTCTCGTGGATTTTATCATTTATTATTTAAAAAATCAAACTTAAAAAAAGACATTTTTCTTCTAATGTTTTTTAGGTCATTTTAGAAACGACAAAAGCATTTAAGTCAAAAAGCACTTTTCCTCATTTAAAAATACAATATTTAAAATAATTTTAAAGTGCTTCTAGAAAATGTCAAAAACAAATTACAATAATTTTATATATATATTACCTAATACATGTGAATTACTCTACATATCTTTGTCTCAATCTTGGTTTGGTGAGTTGAAGTTAGTCTTAACTACACGATTTCCAGTTACTGCACCTGGACGTAAATTGAGGTGATTGTTGGAATGACGAGAGTCAAGACTCGATTAAAATAGACGAAGGGCTGAAAGGTCAATAGGGAGTTACCAATTTCACATCTCATTTGGAGTGGAAAGCGAATCGACATCTCGATCTGAGAGAGTATTTTCAATTTTAGTTGGGAAGAAATAAGGAAGTCCATTGAAACCATCAAATGAAGAATAAGGATATACTCCTGATAAGGCAACCCTAATCCTAAGCTCAACATCCAAGCTTTTATTTTAGCAAGAACCCTTGAATCAAAGTAATTAGCACCTAATTATGCTAAATTTAGACCAACCAAGAGATAAGGCTAGAATTAGATTACCGAAGATCTAGAAGCCAGATTTGAAACATTGTTCTAAATTGAGTCACTCCACAATCTAACTTGATCAAGGCTTGATTGAATGGTTCGGGTGCAATTCTACCACAACAATTGCTTGAAACTTAGAAATGGCAAATATGATGCTCGAATTTCTAAAGGAAACGTCTCAATTTGAGATCTTAATTACACTCATCAACGAATCTGATTTTTACATAACATATTGTGGGTATTTATAGTCTCCCGACAAAAGACGTTTGTGGTCGGGATTCAATCCCGATCCCCTTTAATCTCCACAATGACGAAGTCAATTTTGACCAATTGACCATTGCAAAATGAAAATAAAAAAAACAATAAAATCTTTCAACATAGTTGTTGACATTTTTAATGTTTTCCAACTATTTTTCAGCTTCAAATTGGAACACCGTGATTCTTATCCTTTCCTGACAATAATTAATAATTTTTTATTAATTAAATAATCGTTAAAGTATTAGTGATCGAAATGCAATATAATGTATTATTTGTCATTATGTACTCTATGGTGTGAATAGATGGGATGTGTGCGCATGTGGTGCTGTTTTGTTAGTGGAACTTTATTTATTTATTATTTTTTCTTTATATAGAAAATATATTTTATTTTAATTTCCTCTTCTAACATCATACTGACGTATACATACAATATACACTAAAATTTCCACTATTTTGCTTTTTTACTTTTCATTGTATTTTATGAAGTCTTAGTTGTGGAGAATAGGTATGAACTTTTGTATCGGCTAAAATCATCGAGAATAGAAGCTTCGGATTCGAGAGATTTTTTTTAAATTATGTTCGAAAATTTTGACATGTTGTTCTTGAGGGAATTTTGCACAACTTTCGTGAAGAAGTTGAAGTAGAATCGGAATAAAAGTTGAAATTCTGGTGAACGTCAAGAACGGTGAGTTTTGAGGGACTGATTTTGCATACGTTTATTTCTCTTCAAAGTTAACGAAATTGAATGAAAATAATTTTGTTGGAAAGCCAGATTTAAACTATTCAACTTTGATAATTTGGAAATATGTTTATTTCTATCCAAAGTTAACGAACCAAGTTGATTTGAGTTATAGGAAAAAAAAACTATAAAGATTGGAAGAAATTAGGAATGCATCAAATCGAATTGAAAATCTAGAAATTGAATAGAAGGGGAAAAAAGGTGACACGTGTAACACAGGTATGGACAAATGCATCTGGCACGAGGAAGGGTGTCATCCCTTAAATTTTGAGGCATGGTAAGATCGGAAGTGACTCGAATAACTATGCAATGCATGAAGAATGAAAGGACAGAGAATAAAAAAAAAACCATTCGTAAAATTTCTGGTGAGTTTAAAACTTTACAAACAATGTGCATCACAGACCTATGTAGAAGACTTAGCTTTTGTAGCGGTATCCGACATTTGAGGATGAAGCATAATCTCAAATAACTCTGCACCAGGTGGGGGACACCATGGTGAGTGCTTGTCTGCTTGTCATCGATGGGGGAGTTAGTTGGAAAACCCGTCCCATAGGCCATGAATTCGCCCAAGCGTAGGAGAACTACTCCCAGTACATGTCAGCTCAATCGATTACTTGCATGGCCAATGCTCTCCCATAGGATGGATCCTTCGTGCAGGGTAACCACTGACTACCCGCACAATCAACGTTCTACCACAGGACAGATCCACCATGTAGACTAATCGATCTACCACTGAGTAACATGATCCTAACCAGCATCATGTCTAACTCAACGGTAACGCACCAAAGTGGGAAGGGAACTAGAAGCTTTTTGGATGCCATATCAGCTACTGTCGGCCTAGAAATATTTCATCTTCCAGAGATGCCGAGGTGGTCCTCTAGGTCTCCAAGGCGATTTGGCGATTTTGATTGGGACTAAATTCTCCATTTTCATCAATTTCGACTCCCCAAGTTTGTGATGGCCGAGAGCTGGAGGGTCTCACCCTCTGATCGTCCCTCACGATT